AAAACAAACATCATATCTGCATATAGGCTACGGCCTCTTTAATACTGTCTTGTGGTTAAACTACTGGTTAAAAATGGAGTCCATTTGTCCTAGCAAAGCAAGAGCTTTAGGTAGCTCTTCGTTCTATGTGACATGACTTTCTCGATAAGAGTTTTTGTTCATAAAGTCTAAAACTTAATGAAGTTTTCAGCTAACTAAAGGTTTCTCTGAAAAAACTACTCATGAGGCAACCTTATGTACCCTCTATTCAAGTAGACTGTTACTGTATTGATGCATTGTTGTCTGTTACCATACCAGAGGAAACAATTTAGTGGTATGTCGCCATCTGGAGATAAAGGTATTATGAACGTGTACTGAAGAAAGGGGCTATTATAAAGGCCATCAGTGACACTGCTTGCATATATGCTGTTCATGTTTGCATTCTCTAGCTTATTTATTTACAATTGCATCTTTCACATTTCGTGCGATGATCTATGCACAGGACTCACACTTAAGAGTCATAAAGAATGGTATGAAAAGAAGGAACTGCTTCATAGCTAAGATAAACAAAAATACAGAGATACAAAGGAGATACAGAGCATGTCAGTGGATCTAATTGGTATAGATTTAGTGTTAATCATAGTGCACTGCCTATTTCATACTGTTGCATATGTGACTAGTGTTAGGTAGTTCAAGGAGTATTGAGGCATTAGCATCTGAGCCAATTAACAAAGGTAGGAATGTATGGTCTGCTGTTTGTTTCAAAATTATCAATGGCATAAATAAGGGTAGTAATGAGAGTTTACAGGCGTGCACAAAGTCAACATTTAGTTGCTTTCCAATTTTACACAAAAATATACTGACAGGCCTGTTGCCTCGTGAGCATTTCTAGTCGCAGTTGAGATTGCTGCTTTGGCTTTGCTGTGAAAGACACTTCACTCTAACACTGGAATTTGGAGGTTGTATTGAGGAATTAACAAGGCTGTAAATATAGAGATGTTAAGAGTGAAGATCTCAACGAATATATTTTATAATGAAAATGTTATCACACATAAGATTGAGAGGGATAGGGAATAGAGAGATAGAGAAGAGTAAAGGAGAATCAAAATTCATGAACATGTGTCTCTGATGCACATACGCATAAGCACATGACATTTACTACATTACTCCCCCCCAGAGAGGAGGCGAGCGATACAAAATAAGAAATACAAGAAAAGAAGACAAAGACAAAATTGAGAAACAAGAATAGGAAAAAGTATAAAATAAGGATAATAAGTAAATAATAGCAAAGTTATGAATAATAAAGAGGGGAAATTAGAGAAGCAAGTGTAACAATAAGGATAATGGTAACAGCAACAATAATAATAGTAATAATAATAGTAATAATAATAATTATAATATATATATATATATATATTCTCTTTCAATGATTGCAAACCATAATGGTCATAAGAAGAATAGTAATAATTATTAATAACAACACTAATAATAATAATAATAATAATAATGATAATAAATTGACATACCAGTCTATAGATTGAGTCGTTGGGGGAACCTGACATGCCGACCTGTACGAGTAACGTTGGTATCCGAGTGTGTAGTGTCTGAGAAAGAAAGAGCAGTGGGAGAATAAGTAGATGAGTTATGATGAGAACATGGAATTAGGAGACTCAAAATCGGCTGGTTTTAATCGATCGATACTGATGTTATCATGTTTATCCTGAAGGTCTATAGTGAAATACTTGTCTGTACAATGCATGGACCATTGTACGGACATTGTAATGGTCGTTTAACTGAATCCCATCTAACCAAAACATGAGTAGATGTAGAGAGAGGGATGAATGAAGGTTTGATGTTTACCAGGAGTACGAGGAGGTGTGGCTTTTAACTGAGCCATAAAAGAGCAAAATCAGGTGATGTAATCAGAGTGATCAGGAGTACGGACAGGACGAGAGAAGCTCTCCAGGGACACGGAGTGTGGTTCCATTTACCAACTCAGCATTTGAGAATTGGAGATCCTCTTTGATTGCTGTCCGGATACCAAGAAGCATTAGTGGTAACGCTTCGGACCATGAGTGGGAGAGAGACTGAGCTCGCAAAGCCCCTTTTAAATGACGATGGAACCACTCAATTAAGCCACTTGCTTGTGGATGGTAAGAAGTAGTGTGAATACGAGTCGTTCCTAATAACTTCATCAAATTAAACCAGAGGGATGATTCAAATTGCGACCTTCTATCTGTAGTAATTATTGATGGTACTCCAAATAAAGATACCCAACCAGATACTAGAGCTTGAGCTACAGTTGCAGCTGTGATATCCACCATAGGAATAGCCTCAGGCCAACGAGTGAACCTATCAATACATGTTAACATATATGAATAATTGTTAGGAGATGGAAGAGGTCCCACTATATCGATATGGATGTTGTCAAAACGAACATCAGGTACCCGAAAAGCTGAAAGAGTGTCTGTGAACTTTTGACAACTGACAAGCCAAACATGCTTGAGTCCAACACTTAATATCTCTATGCATCTGGGGCCACACAAAACGAGAAGAGATAAGTTTCTGAGATGCCCGAATTCCTAAATGAGAGAGAGAGTGAAGAGAACTGAATACGAGCTGTCTAAATGAGGGAGGTACTGCAGGGCGGGGTTGTCCTGTAGATACATCACATATTATAGTGTCAGAGGAATGAGGTAGAGGAGTATGCTGTAAGGAAAGAGAATGTGTGGGAGTGTCATGTGTCAAAAACTCACAATTACCCTGTGCAACAGCCACTGCTTGCAGATCGATAATGGGAGGGTTTGTCTCCACCTGATTTAGCTCTACTTGTGATAACGCATCAGCAACAGGATTATTAATTCCCTTAGCAT